TTCGGAGTTCAATGCAAAAGAAAAACCACTCTATTAGTTTTCTGTACTCAAAAGACAAATGAAAACTAAGATAACAAGTGAAAAAACAACAAGTTGCCTACTCTTATAATTTTTACCAGGTGGACACTTTCCTTGAGATAGATATATATAGATATATATTTTTTAAAGTATATGCTCACCCACATAGTGCCCATAAAGATTCTCCTTCCTTCTTAGTGCTTATATAATTCAAATGTTTCTGTTTCTTGGTATCACTTCCCTGAAATATGTGGACTTGGTTATTCTATCCCCACTTAGTTCTGTTTGGACCAGACAGACATGTTTAGTCCTTTCTGTGTCTGCTCATCTGTAAATCACTCTAGCCCTTTATTATTTTTGTTACTGTTTTCTTGGGTCTCTCGAGTTTAGTGACATCTTTCTAGGACCAGGAAGTCTGTCTTTGACTCTGGTCTAAGATCTCATATGTTCTGTGGAGGATTATATAATGCAATAGGGTACCTCTACCACTAACATGCACACACATCTTTTGTGTTTTGATAATGACGTCTTGCTGAATTAGGTGAGAACGGAGCTTTCTTTGCTGAATTAGGTGAGAAGGAGCTTTCTTTCCTCTCCTCCCCCCTCCCAATTTTCACCTTATTCCCACTGACTGCCACAGAATCTCTTAACATCATTTCTTTTCTGGGAGAGCCTCTCACTGCTATGCTTGTGTGGCTCTCCTCCTTGCTCCTGATTGCCTCTGGCTGTTTAGCCAGATGGTAGATGTACTGACATCTGGTGACTTCTTCTCCCCTGTGATATACCTGTCCTCTCTTGGCTCAGAGCCTAGTCACCCTAATTCTGTCTCAGGCCTGCTCACAGGTGGCACAGTGCCAAATAGCTTTATCTGTCTCTTTTTTTTAAAATCCATCCCTTGCCATACCTGAACTGTAATCACTGCATACAGTTTGTGATAGTTTTATGTTCTGGGAGTGTTTTTACTTTGCTTCTTTGCATTTTTGGAGGTAGGAAGGTTGGAAAGAGAGGGAAGGTTGTCCTTGCAATATCTTGCTATGTCTTCTAATTACATCTTAGGGCTGAGAACAGATAGTAAGAGGAGGTAAAGCTAATAGAATAGAAGTTGTGTGTTCTGTATGAAGCTTTCTGTGCATTCAAAGGATTTTATTGTAAGATTGCATTATATTAAGATGTGGTGCCAACAATGCCAACTAGAAAAGCGAAAGTTTTTTTAGGTGAAGGGTGTTCTGACACTACTGCAACAAGGGTGTAATGATGGACCTTTTGTTATGAAAGGGCTGTTGGGAGGTTTGCCACTTAAATTAATTCAAAGTCAGCAGGAAATGACTTGAAAATTTTAACACAGTGAAATAATTTCATACCATGCCTCATTTATCAAACCTCTGGTTTTGTCTTGGATAGCCGAGGTGGTGTTTCTTTCTGGGAACTAATTGTAGATGAAAAATACGTTGGAATCAAAACAAAGTATAGGCACTGCATGGGCATCAGCACAGTGTGGTGTTCCTAAGCTGATCAGGGACATACAAAGCTTTATCGCCTCAGGAAGAGATCTGTTAAATGCAACATAGCTCAAACAGAAAAGAAATGGCTATTTTTGTCCTAAATTGCTGAAGTCCTTTAGATGTCTAGATATTGCATCCCTCTGTCTGATAGGAAAGACTGTGACTTTTCATCTTCACAAAGGTTTTCCAGAGATTTGAGAATAGTTTCCCCAAGCAGCTTGTTAAGTTTTAAGCAGTAGAAGTAGGTAGTTATTGTATAGAAGGGCTGTAATGTTCATTTCTGGGGGAAAAATAGTGGATGTTCCTTGGAGAGAGATGGCTGCCTTATGTTTCTCCCTGGCTGTGATTTCTACTATAGACCCAGGTATTTCTATAAGTTAGAGGACTTTTGACATTATTAGATTAAAAAAAAAAAGACTTTTCCAAAGTACTTGGAAATGATGGAAAAGTCTTGGGGCTGTAGAGTTGAAAAGCAGGCTCACAGCCTAAACTGGAAAGTGCATAACAATGACTTTTCCTCTGTCTGTATTGTTAGCTTGCTTATGGCATGTGTATCGTGGGCGGCTGTTATTCTCACAGCGTGTTAGGATGTCACACCAACATTCTGGATGATTGTACTCTGTCCTGTCTGTTTCTCGGGTGGTACAACAGCTTGTGAGAATCCAAACAGAACGAGAGAGCTAGTCATACGGTGTTTCCTTAGTTCATTCCAGATCAGGTTTAACAACTTTTTATATGCCTTTGTTGTTATAAAAATATGGGCTGTTTGATTTCCTCAATGATGAGATTTGGATAATATTCGTAGGTAACACATAACACGCATTAAAGCCTGACTTATTATTGACTTTTGCGTTGCAATATAGAGATGGGGGGGCCTGACCAGCCATTAGATTCTAGCCAGCATCATAGATCTACATTACAGATGCATAAACAATGCATTTTGGAGACTAGGACCTACCATAATAGGAGCTGTGCTGTTTCTGTTTTGCACATCAGAGGATGTGGCACCTCTTGTTGTATCAGATAAGAATGCTCCAGGTTTTTGAGTTGTTGACAAATCAAAGAACCAGTAGCAACCATCATTATACATGGCCAAGAAAGATTAGCTACTCAAGTCCAATAGCATTTATAGATCTGGGATATTAAGGCTGCTTTGTTTCTACTACCCATATATAATGCTCAAAAAGAAAGCATGTAGGGATTATGGGGAATTTCTAGCACTTGAAGATCTTATCTTTGCTAATTTAGTGTGTTTTACTTGAATCTCTTACCCCCTCCAAAATCATAGCATCAGTTTACTATAAATATTGTTTAAGTAACCAATATTGAGTTGACTCCTACCATTGCTGTCTTCTCTTCGAAATCCCTTTGTCAATTGATGACTAAAATTATAGCATTTAGAGGGAGGGAAATTGTCCAGAGTCATCAACATTATCTCTTCAATCTTAAGAATACCAGAGTCTTATCGCTCAGGCAGTTGTTGAGCAATTCACTACTCCATCTCTATACAAGAGGAAACAAAACAGCTGGGTGCCTATGTGAGGAACATTCATTATAATGCCAAAGTAATTAAGAGGTGCTTTTAAATAACAACTTTGCTGATCTTTCAGATGTTCCTTAAGTAGAATGCCTACTAAAGATGTAGTGTACAGTATACATTCTTATCAACATCGGCTAATCACTATCCTGTAAATCATAAACTTTTAAAGAAGGATTAGTGATTGGTGAATGGGGAAGTTCTTTGTCAAGAGGTTGTGTTGGTTGTTGCTGTGTGGTCTAAGGATATAGGCAGACAAGGTGTTAAGAGGTAGGTAGTATGAAGATAGGGAAGTAACCTTCAAGATCATCTTAATCAAGAAGAGGACTAATAAGACTTAGAGATTTGCACCATGTCAGTCAGCAGTGCTTAGATATTTCTTAACCAGTAAGAATTGCAGTGCTTACCAAACATGCTACACACTACCAGACCCTTGATTTTCAATGCTGTCTCTGACTACATCTCCTCCCTTAGCTCTGTTTCATGAATTTAATAACTGAGAAGTATGATTGAGATCTCATTTTGCCAAAAGAGAACCTGGAAATAATGTCTGCTCATTAGAAGTACTTTGTTTGTTTAGTAAGTAAGTGCTTCTAACTCACAAGATTATTGCATATGACTGCAGATGATTCCCAGTGAAGCTGTTAGTTCTGGTTTGTCAAATGGATCCTTAGCTAAATGTCTCACTTAATTTAGGATTCAATGTATTGCTGGCTTTGTGATGTTTGCCTGATTCCTTTTTCCCCCCAAGCCGTACAGAGGGTTAGAGGGTTCTCCCTTTTGTCTCCTGAATCTCCCTGTGTTTAGGGCACATCATGCAGACATGGTTAAGCTCTGTCTTCTACAGTGAAGGAAAGATGGAAGGGCTTTTTACTCCATCCCAGCATCTAATTTGGTGTAACACTGTAATCCAGTCAGTAAGAGCCAAATTCCAATCAGCTTTCATTTTAACGAACGCCGTTCTGAAACCAGCATTTTCCAGCTTAGCTCATCTGGCAACGATCTCGTACCCCCATCAATGTGGAAAAGGTAAATAATATTTTTTCCAGAAGTGACAGATTGTCTGTGCATTTGTATCTGGTCAGAATCGGGTACGTCAGGAAGCTAGCATGCCTGCAAAGTATGGACAAACAATATCTAAAGTATTTATGCCCTGGGCCTTGGCTACCTTAACATTTTCAATCAGGGATACTGACAGTTCAAGTACAATACAGCCAAGTGCACTGTCTAATAAGGTTGTATAATTTTGATATAACAGCCTAGCTCTGTTGTACTATTAAAGCTTTAAAATATTAATGCTCGTTAATGGTGTCACTCAGCCATTTTATATGATTAGTTTTAAGTCTCTCTTGGGTAGGCAAGAAGGGGAATTTTTAATGAAATGTTCCCTGCTCATCTGACCTGCTGTATTACTGCATGAATGCCATTTTTATGAGGCAGGTTTATGACGTTCATTACTCTGCTCCTTGAGCCACTTCATGGCTGCTGTAATTTTTAAAGAAGAGATAAAAATAAGTCAGTTCTTTCTTTGCAGTCAAGAAGCACTGCATTTTGGCTTTGACCTTTAAGCTGTCATGCACGAATTAATCACATTTCTTCTGGAGATTGTTTTAGACTTAATACTGGCTGTGGACTGATTAGCTTGCTTGCCTTACTGGTTACATCTTAAGGAGGTTTGTCAATGATAACAAAAGCCACTAATTCTCCATTTCTGTACTGCCAACTGTGTGCCCGTGTATGTATAAGCACAAACATATATGAATGTGATGTTTAAATGTACTGTGTATTTGGGTGTTCTTAATCCCAAAACTAGATGGTAGATAATCATTTTGCTTAGTTTCCACAATGGTTAAGTAACTTGACCGAGGTTATAAGCTGATTCAGTTACAAAGCTAAGAACAGAATCCGCAACTCTTAGCTCCTGGTCTTGTGCCTCTAACTAGAAAAGTTTCCACGCTAGCAAGGGTTATATGAAAATGCAGGCCCTTGTAGTACAACCGTTTGCAAGTGGAAGACTATTGTACTGTTAGCTATCCATAAATTGATGCAGTGAATTTAACTGCAAACAGCAGTTTTGTTACAGAAGTTTGTCAGAACAGTAGCTAGCATGCATGGAACTACGGCTGTTATTAGCACAAGGTTTTTGACCTTTGATAAGCAAATCTAGAGGGAACACTACAGCTAGGTTACCCAAGATTGGCAGAGACAGGGCATTTCATGATTCAATGATCATTTAAAGAAAGTGCTTGAAGCAGAAAAAAAGAATTAATGCCCTTTTCAGAACCTCAGGATGAGGTGGGGGAAAGGCTCTGCTCAGGAGGTACAAAGAGATGAGGAAAGGAGGAACAAGGTAAGTGAGAAATTCAGAGCTCTAGGGAACCTTTTGAGCTCTGTAAAAAGTTGTCAGAGCACTCTGGGAAGCGCTGGAGATTCTGGGCATTCCCTGGACCTGACATTTCACAGACCTAGATTAGCACCTTACACCTTAGCCCCTGCTCTGCTCCTTATGGAGTAAGGATCATGGTACAGCACACACCATTTATAAAGGGCGTTAGGTAGGAGTGGATTTTTTGTCTCAATAGAGCTAATTACTTTTAGCCAATTGGGTGAGGACCATAGCTGCCTCCATAATCAGCTGCCTGGAGGAGCCCAGAAGTTAGCTTATTGATGACCTTCATGCTACTAGGCTCCAGGGAGTTGCATTAAGTCAAATATTAGGAAAAACTTTCTCACTAGGAGAGTAGTAAAACAGTGGAACAGGTTACCCTGAGAGGTGGTAGGATCTTCATCCTTGGAGGATTTTAAGCCCTGAGTAAACAAAGCCTTGGCTGGGATGATCTAGTTGGGGATGGTTTTGCTTTGCGCAGGGGGTTGGACTAGATGTGACCTCCTGAGATCCCTTCCAACCCTCATTTTCTGTGATTCTATGAGTCAAAGAACTAGTGAGGGGTATAAAGCAAACTTAGTTTTGTATGTGTGAAGCTGGGTCAGTGCCGTTTATAGAGGTGGGCAAACTCATTGAAATTAGGGCAGCGGTTCCCAATCTGTGGTACAGGTACCACCAGTGGTATGCAGACAACCTCTCTGTGGTATGCGTTAACAGATTTATTATCATTACTTTCTATGACAAAAATTTGCTGGTGGTGCTTAAGGTTGAACGGAAAAGTTTGCTGGTGGTACTTAAGGTTGTATGATTTTAAATTGGCAGTGCGCAATCGGTCAGAGTTTGGGAACCACTGAATTAGGGTATAAAAGAAAACATCCGGCATTCTCATGGGAGCAGATAATGTGCCTGTTTCTTAGCGGTTCTTATCAGCGCTGGCATTTGTTCCAAGATCTGCTCACACAATTATGCTCTCAACCTCCTCCTGGACCCTACTCACAGAGCAGACAATACTCCTGCCATATGTGTGACACTGTAGGTATCATGGCAAGCTTTCAGATACACTAATAGCAGAATAAGTATGATAAAAGAACCCAAATGAGTATAATTAAAGAACTTACATGTGGATGTAATGTGACATCCAAACAAGGTGCCATAGCTGGGAAATGTACAGAGACTAAAGCAAGCAAAACGGCAGGAAAAGGACTTCTTTTTACCCAGGGTTCTTAGATGATAAAATAAATGATGACAGCAGAGTCAAAGTGTTTTGTACCTTTGGCAAGAAGAACCATGTAACAAAAATAAAACTGTATCATATGAATTATGTATATACTTTATTAGTTGATGCTTGTGTGACAACAAAAAGCAAAGACACCTAATTCCAGCTTTTGAAATTTCTATTCACAGTTTATTGGATATACTTTTCACCTTAATCTTTGTTCTCATGTTACTTTCTACAGACTTCTTTCTCCCTCCTTGCTGTCCTGCCCCCTCCATGCCAGAATATGGTACCACGCCATATGTCTACCATCTCCATGCTTTAAATACGTATAGCTGCAATACAGTAGCTGAAATGATTCTTACATATTTAAGAACCTCGGATTTTATTTGTGATCATTTCTTACGTAAAGCTGCAGCGTGTTATTACAGCACGTGGAATCAATCCTGTAAAATATAAGCCTCCAAAATAGTGTATTTTAAAATGCTACTTGAAGAACCTGTGTTTTATAAAGTGCATACAGCAGCATTTACTAAATGACAGGTACTAACTATGCTCCTCTTCTCTTCAATTCACCTTGTTAATATGATTATCTGACTGTTTCAACAGAGCACCATTTGAAGAACAGATTATATATTGAGTAGTTTTAATAATAAGACATGATAAATGAGCAGCTCATTCCCGCCTCCCCTAAATTTCATATGAACTGTGTGACATTTTGTCAAGAACATCTTTTAAGTGGGGGAGGGAGGGAGGGGATCAGCACCGAGAATGAGAGTCTCCATTTGTATTCAGTAAAACATTCTGACTTTCTCTTTTCCCATTTGCTTTGTGGGGCTGGGCGACAATTTCCAGTTTTCAAGCACTTTAACTATTAATAAATCCTGAAGCCCACCCCTCTGAACACAGTAC